AAGATATCAATGAGCTCTTGCGGTTTCATCTCCGTCCTTAACAGAGTATTAGTCTTTTTGTACTTATCTAAATCGTAAGCCCCCCCACTCAAGAGTGTTTGAGCTCACTATGTCTTTCCATCGTGCTTTTGCGAGAGTCCTTTGCAATTACAACAAGAGTCTCGAAGGTTCTGTTCCATGGTAAGTCCAAGCTCACTCTACTGAAATCATGTTTTTACTGTGTGATGACCTTTACATGTGTCTTCATTGACTCTGTGATAGCCGGTGTGATTGTGTGATCAATAGAGTCACTTTTCATTCTATTGATAGTCTCTTTGCTAGTGCGAGTATTGGCGAGGGAACGCATCTGAAATGTTGTTTGCATTGTTATCGTGTTGATGATACTGAAACTTGACATGCGAATTCGCATCGACAGAAATTGCACAACGAGGTAATCCACAGTTTGAGTGTTTTCATGAACAACAGTTCGCTCCAGTGTGGGGAGACACATGTGACATTATGAAAATTCTGAGAAAATTCTGAGAAAAGTCTGAGTAAATTTTGGGAAGTTGGTGCTGGTTTCTGTACACTCCTATTCGAATTCTTCTGTAGACTTCTATATGGGTGAGGAAACTCCTGAGCTCAGCTGGGGAAAGCGAACGTATATACCCTCGTGCTGGTTTACTCTCTCATTCCACATTCCAGTTCATGTTTATCAGATACCAAGTGAAGCGCGAGAAGTCCCCTTTTCAGCAAGTTTGGGACGAAGTTTTCACTCCTGTCTGGTTCAAGCTACTCAAGGGACCGCAGGATATCTTCATTCAGCGCACGGCGAAGATTTTTTCTGCCAGATACGAACGTTGGGAATACAACGCTCTCGTCGCGCGTTACAGAGGAATGGGAATTATGGCCGATGACGCTATGAACGACAAGGTACCCGGTTCGATCTTCGTTGATGACATTGTACCATGTTAGGATATGATTGTTGAACGAGCACTAGATATCATTCCAGAAGATATCCGAATCCAGAGGTACAGACGAATGATGAGAGGTAGGTGTTTTTGTGGTTATTCTTCATGCGAGGTTTCTGTTCCGTAGGGGCCGTTCTGGCTGGCCGAAAGCTGCATCTTCTACTAGAGCTGCAAAACTACGATCCTATGGTCCCCTACATGGCGCCTTATATAGAGGAGGCCAAGTTCCAAATGCAAGAAGAACAAGAATTGCTGGCTTTCCATCCTTGGGATCGCCGACTGTACGTCTCGGGGTTGATAGCGTCTCTCGGTAGGCTTTGGAACAGGGGAGTACTTAGAGAGTTGGAGCGTAATAGTAATCAGGAAGTGATCACATCGAATCAGCCCTCACTTATCACGTATGGATATTCGGACAGTTAGGGTTTGACTCTCCAGAAGAACGATAATTTGCACTCGATCGGTGTTCGTCGGTTGCCGAGATAACGTTAGGTTTATATCATGATATGAAGTAATATTCGATACTATGATTTATAATAGTGGTATATGATCCAATTATATACAGTCCTCGCGAGACTCAATTCAATATCTCAT